CCCCCTGCGCCCTTTCGGAGGGTAACGTACAATGCCGGTGGAGTCCAGCAGGGCCAGGCAGTAGAAGAGATCCGGGGCCTGGCCGGCCTCCTCGGCCGCGGCGATGGCCTTGGCGGGCAGGCGGATCCGAGGGAAGGTGTACATGGCACCGTCAGCCCGCTCGCAGGTGACGCCCTCCAGCTCGACGAAGACGCTGGTCAGCTGCTCAGCGCGCTGCTTCAGGGAGTCTGGGTCGGGTGTTGTGTGTGGGTGGTCAGTGCTTGGTGGAAGGGGAGGAGGTGGCGTTGGGCGGGCAAGGCAGGAGGAAAAGGCATGATCATGCGTACTGAAGATGGCACTGGTCTCTTCCTGGTAGAGGGGGAAGGAGGTGTCGCCCTCCTTCGGGGGGTTGACCATGAGATCAACCTGAGGAGCAGATCCCCACAGGGCGGAATCCGGGTCAGTTGCATGAAAGCCAGGGAGAGAGGCAGCGAGGCAGCGAGGCAGCGAGGCAGCGAGGCAGAAGGGGAGGGAGAAAGAGCGAAAGACAGGGGAGCCCACATGCAGCAAGAAGAGTGCACGCACCATAATCTGGCCATGAACGCTGGGACACAGAGAAATGGAGGCCAGCTTGTAGAGCTGGTCGCGAACGGCCGGCGAGAAGCCGCACAGCTCGAAATAGCCACCACGGCGGCCACACTCACCGAGGACGCCCTTGGAGGTGGAGTGGAAGGACACCAGCTCGACATTGTCGAAGGAGGGGCCCATGCTGAAGGAGGGGATGTCCATCGGCAGATGGGTACGCGTCAGGGCCGGACGGTCGGCGGAAAATGGCACCAGTGGCCATGGAGCAAGAGAGGGCAGGGCAAAAGCGCAAAGGAGGGCCAGCGTGGGCTTCTTTGTGGGTCGAACCTGCGAAGAACCTTCTTAAAGGAATGGAAGGGGCGGTCCTCCGGGTAGTAGACATTGGTCTGGTACACCTCATCGGCCATGATGATCAGACGCTCGTTGCGGGCGAACTCGATGATCTAGACAGCGCGTTTGTGTGCATGTGTGCGTGCATACACAGGCGTGCAAGCACACAAGACACACTCCGAGATGTTAGAAATAGACGGAGGGCGCGGTTGGGCAGGCGATGTCCCGAGAGAGAGAGAGAGAGTATGGGCCCGGGTGCAGGCGAGCATGATCATGCGGGAGAAAAGGGCAAGGGAGGGCGTCGGCGGACAGGGACATACCTCGCGGATGTTCTCCTCAGACAGGCACTGGCCAGTGGGGTTGCCAGGGTTGATGACGACCAAGGCGCGGACATCGGTGCCGTTCTCACGAGCAGCACGAACCGAGGCGGTGAGGTCCGCGACGGACATCGACCAACCAGCGGTCTCATTCAGGCCATACGGCACCGGGCGCCCATGCATGAGGGTCAGGGCCGCCGAGTACAGCGGGTACTGGGGAATGGGGATGAGGACCTACAAAAGGAGGCAAGTGAGGAAGGGAGGCGGAGAGCGGGCGAGCGGGAGATTGATTGGGGTCAGTCATCCTCAGGGGGGCCGGAGATGCGAGAAAAAGAAAGGAAGGCAGCGAGGGCTATGATGATGGAGAGGGGGGGGGGGCGGGCATGGGGTCCAGCGCATACGTACCCCGACCTCCGGGCCGCTGATGATGCAGTTGAGCAGCATGCGCACACCGTCCGACGCGCCAGACGTCAGGAAGATGTCGTCCGGGTTGGCGGGCACACCACCATCGCGCTCGGAGATGAAGCGCGCGACGTTCTGGCGCACGCACGGAACACCCTGCGAATGGCTGTAAGACCCGGTGCTGCCGACGGCCTTGGCCAGCTTCTGGGCACGGGCGATGACATCCGCCGGGAAGAGCAGGCGCAGGGCCTCACCATCGGGGCCCTGGGAGTCGGCCACCGCCAGCAGGGACGGGCAATCGACCAGGGCGGACACCTGGCGGAAGAAGGTAATCGGCTTCTGGCCCAGCTGCTGGGGGTTGCCAATGTTGCAGAGGGTAATCTCATCGAAGGGGAGCTTCTCACCGGCGGCAAGGCGCTGTATATATATATATATGTGTGTGTGTGTGTGTGCGCGCGTGTGCGTGGATGTGCGAGGCAGGTGCAGGGGGTTGGTCAGTGTCGCGGGGGCGAGGCGCCTGTGAGAGAAGGCCGGCGGGGCAGGGCATGGGGGGGGCACATACCTCGCGGTACTTCTCAGCGCGAATGGCCAGCTCACCGCGCACGGCATACTGGGCATCGCGCACGTGGCGGTTAATCGTGTCGAGGGTGAGGACCGGGGGGTGGTCTGCGAGAGATGACGGTAAGATGGGCGGCGGAGGAGCGAGCAGCAGCGGCATCGATAGGGAGAGGAGGGCAAGAGAGGGAGGGAGGGAGAGAGAGAGAGGCACACAGACAAAAGGGCGGATGCATGGGGCCGAGGCCTGGCAGGGAGGCCAGGTGAAAGGGGAGACGCACCGGCCTCGATGACAGCGCGGGTGGTAGGGGACATGGTGTCGTCGACGGGGATGGGCTTTGGCTGGACCTTGCGGAAGGGGTGGACAAAGTGCTTGGAGAGGGAGTACTCTCGGGCCGGGGCCACGCCGGGAGGATTAAAATGGCCCTGGGATTGGGCGACGATCTGGCCGAGGCCCATGGGCGATCGCGTTTGTGCACCCGGCCGGTAACCGCCGGCAGTGGACGTGTAGCCAGCCCCCCCGCGAGCAACTAAGACGGCAGCGGCGGCGGCGGCGGTCCCGGCCGATCGGCCGAACCGAGAGTAGGCAGTCGCAAGACTCCCAAGCATTTTTTCTCGCTTCAATTCGCAGGGAGTTGGCCTTTTATTTTCGAGTCACGGCGATGGGGCTGATGCATGTTAGGGGCCGTTGAGCATCTCTCCGGGGAGCCGCGGCTCGGGGGCGTGCAGGGCGCAAGCCAGGGCTGGCCGATTCCGAAGGGACGAAACGTGGCTCGTGGTGTGCCGGTCCACTGACCCATTCTGCCTCCCCCTCTCCTTGGGAGAGATAGGGCCGCGCGGTGCACACACGCACGTCACACCGAGGCGCCCTCCCCCCCCCCCGCCCCCCCCGCAGAGAGAAGCCCCGGGGGTGCTTTGGGCCGGAATATTCCCCGCCTTCGGCTAGAGGCCCCCGTCTGAAAGCACGGCCAGGGAAGGGGGCCAAAAAAATCTGGGCACACATGTCCCCCCCTCTCCCCGTTCTCTCCCTGCTCGTCCATCGCCCCGGACAGATGGCACACGGAGGCCGGGAGCGTGGGCTTGTCGGGGGGGGGGGGGGGGGGGGGGCGGAGGACCCTGACTCGGAGCGGAGAATGACCTCCAAGTGTCCCCCCTGGCCAAGGACACACTCACATGATACATATGGAGGTAATGACATTTCGGCCATAATAACCCACAACCACTTCATCTGGGGCTGCGCCGCTTCCCTTCTCGTCCTTCTTCTTCTTCCTCCTCCTCGAGGATCGCAGCCTCTCTGTCACTGTCACTCATGCCTCTCCGTCACTGCCACTCATAATTCTACCCGTATTCTCACTCACTCGATCTTTCACTGAATCAGCCGCATGCCCCCCTTGTCCAGTTTTCGCAGAACAAACAATGATCTCTGGAGGACCCATGATCCGAGCTTAGCGGCTCCCGGGGAAGGGGTCACCCGGCCGGATACTATCATGGTACGATGTGAAAATCCAACCAAAAGCTTGGCCCTCCCACAGCCCTAATTCCGACCCAGTGCGTGGACGTTCGTACCTGAGGGAGGATGGGTATCGGGGAAGACAGGCAACCGGAGAGCAGGCGAGGCAAGGACGGATCGACTGACGAAAGGGACGGAGAACGCAGCGGCAAATGCGCCGCGGGAGAACAGGCGCTTAGAAAGGCGGGTGGGTTGGTTGTCAACTTCAAAAGCAATACCTGCGAAATGATAAGTTGACATGCGTCATTCGGCTGCTCTCGAAAGCGCGAGGGGACGCAACAGCGCCGCACCCGAAGAGTACTTACTTCCAAGGAACTGAGGCAAGCAGCAGAGCGCTCGGCAAGGAGAGGTGGCCGTGACGGTGGCCTAGGGATGAGTAGGTGGCGTGGAACAGGAGAGGAGGGACGGGCAGGGATGTGGAAGTGAGTGCGAGCCTCGACTGTGTCCACTTCCAAATGAATATAACTCATGATGCCCCGCTGACGATTGCCTGGGCGGATGCAAAGAGGATGCAATGACTGGCCGCTGGCGATCGGCGGATCCATCCATAGATTAAGCCCCCCCCCCCCTCCCGCCCGCCCGCCCGCTCGCCCGCCCGCCCGCCCGCAGTAGCTGCCTGAGACATGACACACCCAGGAATGAAGAGGAGTCCCAGTGCCTGGGAACGAGGGGTGACACCCCGTGGCCGGAGAGCCCCCACTGTCATACAATTCATATTCTTCCGCCGGCCTTCCTGGCTCAACATACCCCCTTTGGCTGCCTGTCTGCGTGTCCCCGCCGCGATCCGTGGGGAACCCCCCCCCCCCCCCCCCGGAGGGGTGAGAAAACAAAAACAAGACACCATGCCCCATTGAGGGTAAAGAAAGGCGCCAACACAATAGTCCCGATTCTGATATTCAAACACCGGGTTCTATCCCGAGGAGAGTGATCCGGAAAGGCGTCCGGATGTTGGTGATCGTTTCGGGGGCCTTCCAAAGGGAGCATACTTGGTTAGCTGCCAGCAGGGCAAGGTTGGCGGGATGTCATTGCCGCCTTGCCTCCAAGCCACCCCACCACAAAGCGGCCATACCATGCGGTTGGACTTCTCCACAGTGATAGCACCAAGAACTGGATCCTGCCTGGTCCCGCTATCCTGGCCGCCATGAGCAGGCCCGGGACTGGGTAGCATGACAATTCGTGTTGTGGCCGTTCGCCGCCAGGGGGCCCCGAGGCTGGGGCGCATTGTCCGACCAATGCGCGGATGTTCCCACTTGTAGCCAGAGTTTGTCATCTATCGCGGGAGGGGCCGGTATGTTGGTGATTCCAAGGAAAGGCAAGACAGATGTGAGCAAGAGCCATGGAAATTGGCAGACGGCGAGAGGGAGAGACACAAAAGACCAGGAGGCAATCGCCAGGCGCACGAGAATCGAAAAGCGCCCTGTCAGCGCCAGGTCCTGAAGCAATGCCCCAACTGAGGAGGCCATGCCACTGTATTCCGCGTTGACTGTTGCGCCGAGTGCGCGCTGCAAATGCGGCACCTGGCTCGGCGGTGGGGCTTGCGAGCTGGTCCCCCCCGACAAGGAGGATGGTGCTCCCGTGCCGGCATCCAGGCCCAGCTGGATGCTATGGGGCCGCGTCAGCAGAGCCGCCGGCGAGTCAATCACCAGCAGCAGTGGCGATCCCGTGGAGGGGTGCGGGACATGCTGCCGGGCAAGCTGGTGCAGCAGCACAAGAAGAGCCCCCACATCCGACACACGAACACACTCGATCCGGTCCAAAGATGCCTGAACCAAGCGCCGACGGGCATCCGGCATCGTGCGCAGACCGCCGGTCAGCGGGTGCTTCGGGTGCAGGAGCTGGCCCATGCGTCGGAAGAGCAAGTCAGCCATGCGCTGGGCGCTAGGCTGTGTGCCGGTGTCGACAAACAGGACTGCCGGCTGTGGGGCCGGCTGGGCCTCCAATTGGTCGAGGGCCGCCCCGACGGAGGGGGCCTGCCCGGTGGCGAACGAAAGCTCGACATCACGCAGCGTAGCCAGGCCCCCGGCCACTGCGGCCACCTGTTGGCAGAGCTGCCGAGGGGGTGTTTTTCAGTCTGGAGTAGTCAGCGTCCGAGGGCCCAAAGGAAGAAGAGTGATCTCGAAGAGAGGGGGAGAGGCAAAGAGGAAGCGAGAGAGATAGAGAGAGAGAGAGGCCAGGCAGGCTCACGCACCTGAGACTTGCCGCAATTTGCCGGGCCGAGGACCTCAACAATATCACCCCCAATCAGCCCCCCATCAAGGAGCTTGTCGAGCCTACGAAGCAAGACAGGCGGTTTCCGGGTTAGTTCTGGACAGGGAGAGGGGAGGGGGGGGGGGGGGAGGGGGGCGTTCCCCAGAGGTGAGGCATGGCATTTATCTTGCCATTGTGCGCGTACCCCGGCAGCAGTGTGGGGATGGCGTCTTTGGTGGCGAAGTCAGCCACTAACGGCCCCGGGTCAGGATCGCAAAACTCCTCATCCAGCATACTCATGAAGGCTCGCACGGCCGAGGACTGCCGAGGGAGCGAGTCCCCGGGGTCGGGTGGATGGCCGGCGGGCAGACGGCCAAAGAGCTCCGGACATAGTGCCTCAGGCTCGGTGGCATACTCATCAATGAGTGCCAGCTGCAGGGCCTCGACCGCCTGCCAGGGGTGTGTCAGGGAGGGGGCAGGTGTCAAAGAAGGGAGGCCGAGGAGCAAGAGGAGGAGAAGGAGTCGGCGCACGTCAGACGACAGTTCGAAGCCCGATTGGCGAACAAGATGGTCAGGCTCCGAGAGGATGATGCTAAGATCTGAGATGGGGCCAGGGAGGAAGTCAGCAGGGGGGGGGGGGAGCAGGGGAGATTGGCGATCGCATGAAAAAGGAGGGGGACAAACAAAGGCAGAGAGTGGCTCCGGCGCACCGGAACGGATGCCGAGTGAGGCGAGGATTTCGGCGGTGCTGCGACGAGGCCATGTTCCCATGATCGCACACACGAAGCCGAGGCAGCGAGGGCCAATCGGGGGACGGACGGATGGACGGACGGGCAGGGAGGATGGGGTCGAGGATTGGGTTTGACGAATGCTGGATGCCCCCTTGCCCCCGCGAGCGGGTGCCATTTTCCCTGGGCAGCCGATCAGGGGTGGCGCCCCACAGGTGCCCACGATAGTGCTGATCACATGCCCCCGCTCCATGTGTCTGTCGATCCGCCGCACTTCGCGCCCTCGCCGCCGGGCCCCGGCCGCACGGCCGCCCCCCTGGCCCCCCGACGTCGCCCATGAGGAAGGCCGCACGCGCGCGTGGGGGCAAATTTGTCCGACCATCTTCCCGTGAGGTTACCATCGTTGTGCATCCCACCCCACTGTCCCCTCCCCTCCCCTCCCCTTCCAGCCAGCTCTCCTTCTCTGCCTTCCTCCTCCCCCCCCCCCTCTTCGGCCCTCATCCATCTCCTTCCTCCTCCCTGTCCGCCCTGCACCCCCCCTCCCCCCCCACACACATCGACGCAGGATGTCCGCTGTGAAGAGCCCCAAGGCCGCGGGGAAGATCGCGAGTCCGTCCCCGGCTGCCAAGTCCCCCAAGCCCCGCACTCCGAAGGCCAAGACCCCCGTGAAGGTGGCCTCCCCTGTGCAGCCCCATGAGGATGAGCATGATGACGACCACGGGGCCATCTCCTTGTTTGCCGGGAGTGCGCCAATTGTCCTCAGCAAGCCGACCACCGGCGGCTCCTCCCCCGAGGCAGGCCTCAAGTCGGGCCAGACCAAGGACACTGCCGAGCCTCATGCGGCCGAGTCCGCGGCCAAGACTCCCTCGCTCTCGCCGGAGAAGCTTGTTGCCCGCGACCGGGCGCCGCTTGAGGCCAACATGGCCGAGCTGGCCAAGCAGCTCCAGCAGATTCGCGCGCACCTGGCTCCTCTGGCTGACCGGTGCGTTGGCGTGGCCTTCCCTGCCCTTCTTCCCTTTCGTCTTGTCCCTCTCTCTCCCTCTCCCTCGCTCTTCCTACCTCAGGATGGGCCTGGGTGAGCGTCGCACAAACACCCGAATGCCCTCTCCTCTGTTGCTGATGCCCGCTCCCCCCCCCTCCCAGCATCAAGCAGGGCGAGCTTGAGACTGCCAATGGCGTGGGCTTCCTCGACGCCAAGTACCGTATGTGACCTTTTACATATCCATACCTTTGTGGTCTTTTGTTTGTCGGTTCTCCTCTTGGATCTCTGGGCTCTTGCATGGGACGCCTCATCCCCCTGACTTCCTCCTCTTGCATGCGGTCCTCCCTCGCCGGCAAAAAAAAACAAACCCCCAACGAACAGAGCTCCTGCTGTCGTACTGCGCGGACCTTGTGCACTACATGTCTCACAAGGCGTCCGGCCGGTCGGTCGGCCCGGAGTCCGAGGACTTCGCCGAGACCCTGGCCTCGCTCATCAAGACCCGCATCTATCTGGAGAAGATCCGCCCGCTGGAGAACAAGTTCAAGTACCAGATTGACAAGTACATCAAGGCGGCCACCACGGGTGCCGGGTCCGGGGCCACTTCCAGCGCGGCAGGTGCGCACGCGGTCTCCTTTGTTTGGTGGGTTTTCCCTGGTCAAAGTGTTGACTCCCCCCCCCCCCCCCCCCCC